ACGTACATACATGTAAATGTGTGGCGTGGTTAAATTTATTTAACGCCACGAAACATACAAGTACATAAACGATTCGATTGAAAACACGGAAGAGTAAAAAGTCAACAGTGAACAATCAAAAATAATTTATTCTATATATACATATGTTGTTCATATTTCTTACTTCATATTTGCTTTTTTTCGAGTAAATTATTTTTAACGGCACGAAAAAAATATGCGTACATAAACGATTCCATTAAAACACAGAAACGAGAAAAGTCAAAAATAGTAAACATTGATCAATTAAAAATAATTCATTCTATATACATATGTTGTTTATTTTTTACAATTCTTACTTCCTTTCAATGAAGTACACTTTTTTTTCTTATTCCATCCCTCTAATCAGAATCGCTCATCTGTCGTAGAAAGAGAGAGAGAGAGAGAATAATATTAAAAACCGATAGTTATATAAAGAGGGTTATGTGTTGGAAATTTAAAAGTATGAGTCACCCCGTAAAAATGCGGTCATAAACCCGCTAACATGCAAAGTATGAAAAATTGGTTGAACGACGTACAGTTTGGTTTTCAAAAAAATGGCGGACTATGCTACTATGAGTTAAAATATATATTTCCTTGATCGTTTCACAGAATAACTTTGACATACATAATCATTACACGGAATGAGTTTACGCTGTAACATAGCGATTTTCGTTTTCCCTCGGCGAAGAAGATCTACGTAACAAGTCATACAGAACGTATTGGCCACACATGGCTTGAAAGCATTCGATGATTGTAGATCCACGTACGAGAAATCTTTTAAATTCCGTGACATGACTACCGTACGAGTAAAAATAGTCATTGGTGTTTGAGCGATGTGAATTACTCCAAAGCGCACCCGTGAATGCCAATTTGAACTAAATCACACGATTAAGTTTAAGGCATAGAGGTTATTTATAACTCGCGCGTCATAAGTGTTCCCAACATGAAATAGACCTCCCATGTAGATGATAAACAACAGATGTTGGTGTATTTGTATATTTATGTTATCTAAAACATAAACACTGGCAAGCAGGGATATTGAATAGGGTTTCAAGTTTAAAGCGTTACCCATATGCATGGATTTCGACCTGCATGTATCGAATTGCGCCTGGACATAACAAACATCGAGCAAACAAACCTAATCTCGTTTATGGCGATTAGTTGTATACTGTTCCTTTCGTGGCAGTGTGAATTACTACAGAGTTGAAATTCACCATGAATGAAAGTCGAAATACTCACATATTTCTAACATCAGTCACTTATAACAGGACTTGACATTCTGTTGACCCCAGGCGCTATCAGTCAATTCACTTATTTTTATCGATTAGACTTTGCTAAAATACTACCATCGTTTTCGACATATAACAAAAACAAATGGCCCACAGCGGAGGGATATGATCTCCTAAATACCGGATTCGGCTGATACCCCGCCCTGGGCGATCTTATGGAGGATTCGATTTTTTTTTAGAAAACTGTGGACCAAAAGGGCGATCTTTTGACAGATATTACGAGGCCCATCTTGTCTAAAAAAATAACCCTGCGTTGATAGAAATGGTCTAGAAAAAATAATGTTTCGCGTTGACCAAATATAATCATGCAAAGTATAAATTCAAAGTGTTTTAATACATTGGTGAGAGGTCGAATTTTATGTGAACAAGAACATGCACTAAGAAGGAAAAGCAAGTCAAAGTCGAAACGGGGTGCATCATGCCTGGACATGACACAACACACGCTGCGACAACCGAGTGATTAGCGACATAATTTTGGGACGCAATTGAACTTGAAGTACTTCTTTGCGAAACTTGCTGCGCGGTGATGCTGGCATCAAGTGTGTGTTGACCTAAGTTTGACCCCAAGTCACGCGCTGAACTGGCGCGTTACCTTAGCAACCTTTTTCTTTTGCGGTCCGCGCGTCGATCTAGTAAAATTTTTAATATATCCGACGGTACTGTAATTACGCAACTTGTATGCAACTCTGTACTGGCTTTGAATATATCAACGTCGTTTACTTAGTGCACTGCTTTACAATATTGTACCAGCTCTGAATATTTCAACTTTGTATTAAATGTATTGCTTCAGTTTCATGATAATTACGCAAAATCAAGTTAATTTTTACTATTGTTAGGGCACTGACCCGGGGTATTGGGTCTGTGAATATTTCAATATTACCGACTTGATAATGCGTTGCATTCGTAATAATTACGCAAACATAAACATTGGCGCATTTAAATCATTAAAAATGATAGTAGTCGGGTATCTATTGGAAAGTCGAGAAAATATTTTAAATACTTGTGATTCACCAATGTTCCAATGGTGATTTTTTTATTCGAAATGAAGTGAACATGTAATATAAACCATACCATGCGTCAAGTTAAATTTTACTATAATATAATAAACTCTGGACAGCGCACTTCGATCGCAATATTCACGTACATTTCGACTGAACTCTAATAACCACGCGTTTGAGTTCACGCACTGATATTTAAATTTGAGCCACCCAGCTTGACGCAAATCAATATAGTTACTTGTCATGTGTTCAAAAAATCTTTCAACTCTCACAAATACCATGAACGCGAAGAGCTAACTGGGGGTTAACTGAAAGAGAACGTCTTTTTTGGAGAAAAAACACGTCAGTACAAGATTATGTGTACAAGGTTAGCTTTATAGAACGTACATGAA